AATCATTAAAGGATACAGTATAACAGTGGTATGCCAGCAAGACCAAGCATCTATCAAAGGATATAGGATAACAGTGGTATACCAGCAAGGACAAACAATCATCAAAGGATACGGTATAACAATGGTATGCCAGCAAGGACAATCATCAAAGGATACAGTATAACAGTGGTATACCCGCAAAAACAAACAGTCATCAAAGGATACAGTTTAACAGTGGTATACCAGCAAGGACAAACAATCATCAAAGGATATAGTATAACAGTGGTATCCCAGCAAGGACAAACAATCATCAAAGGATACAGTATAACAGTGGTATACCAGCAAAAACAAACAATCATCAAAGGAGACATTGTGACAGTGGTATACCAGCAAAAACAAACAATCATCAAAGGATATAGTATAACAGTGGTATACCAGCAAGGACAAACAATCATCAACGGATACAGTATAACAGTGGTATACCAGCAAAAACAAACAATCAACAAAGGAGACATTGTGACAGTGGTATACCAGCAAAAACAAACAATCATCAAAGGACATAGTATAACAGTGGTATACCAGCAAGGACAAACAATCATCAACGGATACAGTATAACAGTGGTATACCAGCAAAAACAAACATTCATCAAAGGATACAGTATAACAGTGGCTCACCAGTAAGGACAATAAACCATCAAAGGATACAGTATAACAGTGGTATACCAGCAAAAACAAACATTCATCAAAGGATACAGTATAACAGTGGTTCACCAGTAAGGACAATAAACCATCAAAGGATACAGTATAACAGTGGTATAAAAGCAAAGAAAAACAACCACCAATGGATATAGTATAGCAGTAGTATACCAGCAAGGACAAAAAATCATCAAAGGATACGGTATAACAGTGGTATACCAGCAAAAACAAACAAGTCATCAAAGGATACAGTATAACAGTGGTACACCAGCAAGAACAAACAATCATCAAAGGATACAGTATAACAGTGGTATACCAGTAAGGACAAACAATCATCAAAGGATACAGTATAACAATGGTTTACCAGTAAGGACAAACAATAATCAAAGGATGCATTATGACAGTGGTATACCAGCAAGGACAAAGAATCATCAAAGGATACAGTATAACAGTGGTTTACCAGTAAGGATAAACAATCATCAAAGGATAAAGGATAACAGTGGTTTACCAGGAAGGCCAAACAACCATCAAAGAATACAGTATAACAGTGGCTTACCAGTAAGGACAAGCAATCATCAAAGGATACAAGTGGTATACCAGCAAAAACAAACAGTCATCAAAGGATACAAGTGGTATACCAGCAAAAACAAGCATCTATCAAAGGATATAGTATAACAGTGGTACACCAGCAAGGACAAAGAATCATCAAAGGATATAGTATAACAATGGTTTACCAGTAAGATACGGTATAACAGGTAGGACAAACAACTACCAAAGGATACGGTATAACAGTTAGGACAAACAACCACCAAAGGATACATTATAACAGGGGGTTACCAGTAAGGACAAACAAGCATCAAAGGATAAAGCATAACAGTGGTATACAAGCAAGACCAAGCATCTATCAAAGGATATAGTATAAATCCTCAAAGGATACAGTACAACAGTGGTATACCAGCAAGGCCAAACAACCATCAAAGAATACAGTATAACAGTGTTTTACCAGTAAGGACAAATAACCATCAAAGGATACGGTATAACAATGGTATGCCAGCAAGGACAAAATACAGTATAACAGTTGTTTACCAGTAAGGACAAACAATCATCAAAGGATACAGTATAACAGTGGTTTACCAGCAAAAACAAGCATCTATCAAAGGATATAGTATAACAGTGGTATGCCAGCAAGGACAAACAATCCTCAAAGGATACAGTATAACAGTGGTTTACCAGTAAGCAGTATAACAATGGTTTACCAGTAAGGACAAACAATCATCAAAGGATAAAGTATAACAGTGGTTTACCAGTAAGGACAAACAATCCTCAAAGGATATAGTATAACAGTGGTTTACCAGTAAGGACAAACAATCATCAAAGGATACAGTATAACAGTGGTTCACCAGTAAGGACAAACAATCCTCAAAGGATACAGTATAACAGTGGTTTACCAGTAAGCAGTATAACAATGGTTTACCAGTAAGGACAAACAATCATCAAAGGATACAGTATAAGAGTGGTATACCAGCAAGGACAAACAACCATCAACGGATACAGTATAACAGTGGTATACCAGCAAGGACAAACAACTATCAAAGGATACAGTATAACAGTGGTATACCAGTAAGGACAAACAACCACTAAAGGATACATTATAACAGTGGTATACCAGCAAGGACAAACAACTATCAAAGGATACAGTATAACAGTGGTATACCAGTAAGGACAAACACCAACCAAAGGATACATTATAACAGTGGTATACCAGCAAGGACAAACAACGATCAAAGGATACAGTATAACAGTGGCATACCAGTAAGGACAAACAACCATCAAAGGATACAGTATAACAGTGGTATACCAGTAAGGACAAACACCAACCAAAGGATACATTATAACAGTGGTATACCAGCAAGGACAAACAACCATCACAGGATACAGTATAACAGTGGTATACCAGCAAGGACAAGCAACCATCAAAGGATACAGTATAACAGTGGTATACCAGTAAGGACAAACAACCATCAAAGGATACAGTATAACAGTGGCATACCAGTAAGGACAAACAACCATCAAAGGATACAGTATAACAGTGGTATACCAGTAAGGACAAACAACCACCAAAGGATACATTATAACAGTGGTATACCAGCAAGGACAACCAATCATCAAAGGATACGGTATAACAGTGTTAACCACTATCAATAAAACAAAGCACCAGACAAACGGTTTTATTATTTTGTAACAATACATTAAACTTTATCATCAGCTAAAATTTTAAAACGCAAATGAAAATGCCCTTTATTGCAACGTTGTGTACTTGCAAATTAGTGCTGTGTGAACAGGTAATTTATGCTGCTGATTATGACAAAATCGATATACCATGTTAAGGACGCAACTACTGTGTTGAAACTGTATGAGTGTAGATTATGTGTAAGTTCTGTATAGCTATACCTTAAACGTGCTAGCAATATGTAAATCATATAATTTTCTTTTAAACTGTTTGGTGTAAGTAAACAAAACGTGAATATAATACCTAGACTTTTTTTCCAAATTGACATGTTAAAACGTATTTAACACAAAGGGTTTTACACGGTTTTTTTTCTCCTTTTGCCGAAATAATCACAATGAATAACCCAAAAATATAAAAATGTCTTCAGGTTTGCCCTCGTTCGCTATTTATAAGTTTAGGCTGCCGACTGATCTGAGTTTCCTGCGTAGGTAACGCATACGTTGCGTGATTCTCGTCTCGGGGTATAATGTAAGCCGCATTTGAAAAGAAAGAGCTTTAGTTTGGCACAACTATGCGTTATTAAACAAAATCGCTTCGTGTTAGTGAATAGAAGCTATTTCATTTAAAAAATCATAGACTATCTTAACGTGTCGACTTACAGTTTGGACTCGTACCCCTCACTTTTCAGGTATAAACTTATATGTAAAAACATTGGTCTCCGTCCTATTTAAAAGACCAACGCGAATTTTCATTTGACGTATTATGAATTGGATCATTTAGATAAGAATATCTCCGATACACAGTGGTTGCTGCTATGTTTTGTCGGTCCAATAAGACAACATACGGTACAAGGTGGTTGCTGCTATGTTTTGTCAGTCCAATAAGACGACATACGGTACAAGGTGGTTGCTGCTATGTTTTGTCTGTCCAATAAGACACAAATAGCTACATCGAGATTCCCCTTGTAGACACAAATACATGTTGGTACAGTGAGAATCCCCTTGTAGACACAAATAGCTACATCGAGATTCTCCTTGTAGACACAAATAGCTACATCGAGAATCCCACTTAAGACAGAAATAACTACATCGAGAATCCCCTTGTAGACACAAATAGCTACATCGAGAATCCCTTTGTAGACACAAATAGCTACATCGAGATTCCCCTTGTAGACACAAATAGCTACATCGAGAATCCCACTGAAGACAGAAATAACTACATCGAGAATCCCCTTGTAGACACAAATAGCTACATCGAGAATCCCACTGAAGACAGAAATAACTACATCGAGAATCCCCTTGTAGACACAAATAGCTACATCGAGAATCCCACTGAAGACAGAAATAACTACATCGAGAATCCCCTTGTAGACACAAATAGCTACATCGAGAATCCCACTGAAGACAGAAATAACTACATCGAGAATCCCCTTGTAGACACAAATAGCTACATCGAGAATCCCACTGAAGACAGAAATAACTACATCGAGAATCCCCTTGTAGACACAAATAGCTACATCGAGAATCCCACTGAAGACAGAAATAACTACATCGAGAATCCCCTTGTAGACACAAATAGCTACATCGAGAATCCCATTGTAGACACAAATAGCTACATCGAGAATCCCCTTGTAGACACAAATAGCTACATCGAGAATGCCGCTGTACAGTTTTCAATGTTCCATGTATAGTGTTATAATTCATTGATACTTTAATAAATAACTGTAAATGATTGTCATGCATCTCGGTGTCCTGAATTTAGATATGTGTGCTGATCAATAGTGCTATTTTGTGTAACTGTTTAGTCTTTTCGAAAAATCAACAGACTGTCAAGTTTTGAAAAGCTCTTTGTCATTTATGGTATTTCGGGAACAGACAAGAATGATGAACTTTATTACATAAGAGAATAAATAATAAAAGTGTATTGCCTAAATATGCAAAGATTGAACGGTACACGTAACTGATAATCGCATGTTCCAGACAGGATGAATCAGTTGTGTATCTAGCGGAAAGTAGGATGTACACACATCCAGTCTTTAAGTCGCTTAAAAACATTAATTTAATATTGATTATGTGCAATATTTTGCCTCCTGTAGCTACGTCAACAAATTGGGAACAAATGGCACGTGACCTGCTAGCAGAGGAGTTGAAGATCAAACGTAACAATAACCTAGCTAAAAACATCATCCTTTTCATCGGAGACGGCATGAGCATGCCAACTATCACTGCGGCGAGGATTCTCAAGGGCCAGCGCAACAACCAGTCGGGCGAGGAAACAGTACTGGCGTGGGAGGAGTTTCCTAATATGGCACTCTCAAAGGTAAACAAGTTGTTTGTCACTCACTAACTCAAAAAATTAAACTCTCCCAGCGGAATAAGAGTTATGTGCCACCCAGAAAGTCAACAAATTAAACTTTCAAATCTGCAATCCTGAAATAAAAAAATGCGTCAGAGACTAATTCCCCACCAAGCCCTGTCAAAGATTTAACAGGGCAGGCGTTAGCGAGTTTATATCACTCTTCGATTTCTTTGCTCTATCAAAAGCAAACAATACAAAATATTTATTATTTTATAAACTTTTCCAAATATATTTACAGTCATTGCTACACGTAGTGGCTATAATTGAACATGAGATAAAGAGGTGTCTGTCGACAAATACAGTAATGTAAAACTATTTTGAACTCAATCTTTAGCAAAATGGTATTGTTTTGAAGTATGCCAATGATTTGAAAAAAAGATTGTATGTTTGCGTCTTAATTTTTTTTTTTTTTTGGAAAATTGATATAAGAAACATAGAGATTGGTTTAAAGACTTTCCAATAAACAAAACGTTCCTGAGAGAGCTCTCAAATACACAGGGCTGCCAGAAAATATAATGCAGTAGGTCCCCGACCAATCTCCAATGAGATCCTCCCCGCTCACACACCTTCCTCTCCCCTTCTTTGTGTTCAAGATGCTTTCTTCGTCAGCACATCGCATCTTACATTAACTATGCCTCTGACTATACTATTGCGTCAATGTCAAAATACTACTTACAAAAAGGTCATGGGTATCAAACAAATGTCTGTGTCCTTCCGAAAAACCACGCAAGTTAAATCATGGTTTGAAATGTTATGATGACGTAATGTTTGTGCAAAGAGTCATGTTTATTTTTACCCCACCATATTCTTGTAGTTATAAAAACGGTAAATCACTCAATAAACACGTGTCAAGTGAGGTCTTTTATAGAATATAATACAAGGTCCTTTCTATAGGATATCAACAATGTTTAGGCCGTATTGTGTCAGAAATTTGTAATTGAACATTTTTTTTTAGAAATCGTATAACAGTTCAGTTTGTTACTTGATCACGTGCTTTTTTTTCTGCCGGAAGGAACTGGTAGAATATCGCTAATTGGCAACGGTGGGCCGTTGCCTATCTATTATACCAGTCACGACCCACTATTCCCCGACTTTTCCTGGCGATAAATCGACAAATCATAGAACTCGTGTACCCTCAGGTTTCTACATAAGGAACCCTCTTACTAAATCCTCATACGAGTTTGTTCATGCTTGACAATCTTTATCATCCCTAATGTTACATGTGAACAATAGAACAATTAAGATTCCTATATTTTTTATATTTTAGTTCATATAATTATTCGCAATGAAGAATGAACTTATGAAATAGTTGTTTTCGTCTGCAATTGTTGATATTATTACTGCAATTGATGATATTATTATTTCAATTTATCACTAATAAATGCGCAGGATTTTCATTTATCTTACAGTTTGATGGGTTTTTTTCTCGATACCTCCATATGTGAATCTGTTCCCAACTGTTTATTTTTTGCATTTCGTCTAACAAAACCTCGTTGGTTGATATCAAAATTATCGCTACTTCCTGAAAAACACCTGGGGTAATTTTGAAATGGTTGCTATGTAAAAAAAATAAAAAAAAAAATGTCATGTTAGTAAGGGTGTAGGTATTGGGAGTTAGATTACATTTTATCATTAGAGTCACTATATATGTTAAAGCTCAGAAGCATCAACAGGCTGAGAATCGCTCAAAGGATCTACCACTGTACATTTAACCGGTTTGTCAAAGGCATTTAACTGAGACATGATCGATAATATACAGACATTCAAATGTATATAAAAAGAAAACAACTTTTAAACTTTTGACCCGAGATCAGTTCAACAGTTCATCAAATTCCTGCCAAGCAACCACTTTGATTTTTATAAAATGTTTTTCGGGCCAAGAACATAGAGTCATCAGCGTTTAGCCAAACAACTGTTTGATAATGCTTAGGATTGAAATCTCTATGATAAATGATCTCATCACAGACGTACGGCAGTAACAAGCAGATCCCGGACTCGGCAGCCACGGCCACCGCCATCTTGTGTGGGGTGAAGGCCAACTGGTACACGTTCGGAGTGAGAGACACCGTGATAAAAAATAACTGTAGCAGTCAGCAGGGTCAGGCTGTCGAGTCAATCCTCGATCACTTCCAGAAAGACGGTAGGTACTCACAGGTATCATTCAAAAACTGTTGATTTCAGAAATAAAGTTGGTTCTCCCTGGTGTGACGTCACAGTCCGGATGGTACGATTTGCATTATTGCATTAGGCCTATATGGAGAATCATCATTTTCCTCGTCTTATTGGATTTATCATTTATATAATACATGCACACATAATGTGCAAATAATCAAGCTTGTACATATCTAGGACAATTGATATATATACATATATATTCAGTGACTTGGAATATATTATTTGTCCGGAACGTCTTGAACTTCGATTCCCACTCTTTTGATACCTACCTGCACCAGTAGGTAAATTGAGGACAAAACAATACAATTTAATCTATTGTTGGCTAACTATATCTGTTACCAAACATTTTAACGGTGAATACACGTCTTACTTTCATCTTTGAAAGCACATAAATTACATAATGTTTTACAGAAAATCGAAATTGCATACAAATCAATGAAATATGAATAATAAATACATCGTCTATGTCTAAAACAAACTTGACGGTACAGTTTTAGAAAGAAATGCTTTATATAAGGAAAAAGGACATATTTATTCCAGGTGAAGTTCATTTGCCCAAGGGCCCATAGGCTTTAGACATCCTTGTCCGAAATATTATATATAGATACCTACAGTATATGTTTTCATGAGTTGCCGAGTTCCCTAGACATATTTCATACAAAATGAGGAAGACTTTCAATTTTATGATGAATTACAGTAATGTTTAGTGTCTGAAAAATCTTTAGTGCAAACAAATTACATGATTATTTTTCAAGACATTAAAACCCATTAAAAACCACTGAAAGATTAATGATGTATACCCGCTAAATCTCTAGAATAGGTTTTCAATGAAGGAATGTATTTCTAACAGATATATGAGGCACATTTGTCCCAGCTTGATCGTCATTTTGTTTTAATCATTAAAGCTAAAAGGATCTATATGTTCTATATACCCGAACTTGAAATGCAATTTGGCTAGCCATACTTTTACTGGCTATCTCTGTTCCGTGGACATTGGTTTGTTCATTGCTATGAACAAAAAGATGTTTCAGGCATACATCATAGAGGGAAGACCTACCTTACATGTCATATGAGCTGGTTAATAATTCTTATATAATTTTTCTATAGATATTGTACATATAATTACAAATTACACCCTCATTTGTAAACGATGTTACAATATTTTCGCGTACATTCTTCTAAGTAAGCCCACTTTTCCTTGTGGCACAAATCTCCCCTACCTTTACACGAGCCGGTGGCTGCTTCACTACCCATACAGTGTGGTAACTGTGCCCTTGTAGTATGTAAGTATCCCTCGTCTCATTGATTGTTGCCGGTGATATTAGATCAGATCCTCCATTATAATCGAAAACAATCTCAAGGGGTTGGTTTGGTTTTTTGAGTTTTTAATTCCTGCAAAAGCTTAGGCCATAGATATATTAACAACGTGTCCATAAACTGTTTGAGCTATTCAAAGGTACTTTAAAGTGCCACCACACCGGGTTAACTTCATCTGGACAAGGTAGCGCAAATATCCGACCCAGACACATTATCCTTAAACCGCGCAAACCTTAATGGGAAGGAGGTTTGTTAAGTATGGTTTTTGTTCTACGGTACGGTATACCGGAGCGCTTTAAAAATCATTAGCGTGTTTGCATGGATCTTTTAGAAAGGCAACACGAAAGCGACTAAAATACGGAAAATAATGATATTGGATTGGAAGGTGGTGGTGGTGGTGGTGGTGGTGTCTTGGTTGGGATGATGTGGTTGGTGGTGGTGGTGTCTTGGTTGAGATGGTGTGGTTGGTGGTGGTGGTGTGGTGTCTTGGTTGGGATGGTGTGGTTGGTGGTGGTGGGGTCTTGGTTGAGATGGTGTGGTTGGTGGGGGTGGGGTGGGGGTGGTGGTGTGGGGTCTTGGTTGGGATGGGGTGGTTGGTGGGGGTGGGGTGGTGGTGGTGGGGTGGTGTCTTGGTTGGGATGATGTGGTTGGTGGTGGTGGGGTGGTGGTGGTGGTGTGGTGTCTTGGTTGGGATGGTGTGGTTGGTGGTTGTGTGGTGTCTTGGTTGGGATGGTGTGGCTGGTGATGGTGGTTGTGTGGTGTCTTGGTTTGGATGGTGTGGTTGGTGGTGGTGGTGTGGTGTTTTGGTTGGGATGGTGTGGGTGGTGGTGGTGGTGTGGTGTCTTGGTTGGGATGGTGTGGTTGGTGGTGGTGGTTGGTGGTGGTGGTGTGGTGTCTTTGGGGGGGGGGAGTTGTGGTGTGGTTTGCTGGTGGTGTTGTGGTGTACGTTCTGCTTGCTGACCCTCACTGTAGCTGTGATAATTGTATTATATATGAAACGTATTATCTTTAATTATTTTACACATGAAAGAGAAAATAATTGCTTGCCGTGGTAACAGGCCTAGGTACTGATGAAAGAATGTTTACCGTGATAACAGCACTACTGATATATGTCTATTGCTTTGTCGTGATAACAGCACTACTGATATATGTCTCTTGCTTTGCCGTGATAACAGGTCAACTTTGCATTGTTTTGCTTTGTAAATACGCCTACCTACTGATGAAGTCTTCTGGCAATATTAACAGGCTGACTGGTAAAGTTGATGTTTTGCAATGTTAACAGGTCAACATTCTTATATTGTTATACTTTTTTTCCTTTTTATTCTCTATACTCTTCTATAGTGGAAAAAGTTCGAAATTCCAGATATTTGCTTCAGAAAAATGTTGACCGGTCAACATCGAAATGTTGACTGGCTTTGAGTGAAATGTTGACTGCTTACGTCACAGCTCATTACTATTCGGTATTTCTCGGCCATTACTCGGCAACTTCCGCCGTTAAGCAATTACCAATAGTGGCATCCCTATAGGAAGCATTGCTCACGTCTGCTTCCGGCCGTCTGCAATGTGTATGTATGTCGGCTGCCTTATGTACAATCATATACAGATTTTCGAAATACACTGCTGCAGAAATTGATGATTTTTTTAATTAGACAGTACAAACACCAAGAATGTGATCAGAGTTGCAGAGAAATTAATAAAAGAATATATTGAAGCAAAGCATAACGCATTAGCTCGGGATTGTTTTCAAGATAAATCCAAATTGGAAACGTCAGAAATTTTGAAAAAGTTATAACAAAACATTTGTAGGCTGATTTTTCGGTCAGCATGTGTTATGTTGAACCCTCGGACCAAACTGTTGCCTTCGGCCTCAGACAACAGTTTGGTCCTCTGGTTCAACATAACACATGTTGTCCTCAAATCCAGTCAACAAATGTATAACGGTATAGTTTTGCAACGTTAAAAGGGTAAATGTTTTATCAATTATGCAATTGATACCTACCTATAAAGTCCATTGCTCGAATGGCTTATTTCGTTAACGAAATATTTTGCAACAAATAACAAAAAATAATTGTTCAAATTATAACCAATGCTATGAGTGTTTACAATCAAAACTGCTGATATAAGTATTGTAGTGTTAACACAGAGAGCTACTGGTTTTAGTATCGTAGTGTTAACACAGAGCGCTACTGGTTTAAGTATTGTAGTGTTAACTCAGAGAGCTACTGGTTTTAGTATTGTAGTGTTAACACAGAGAGCTACCGGTTTTAGTATTGTAGTGTTAACACAGAGCTACTGGGTTTAGTATTGTAGTGTTAACACAGAGAGCTGATGAATTTAGTATTGGAGTGTTAACACATAGAGCTACAGGTTTAAGTATTGTAGTGTTAACACAGAGAGCTACTAGTTTTAGTATTGTAGTGTTAACACAGAGAGCTAATGGTTTTAGTATTGTAGTGTTAACACAGAGCTACTGATTTTAGTATTGAAGTGTTAACACAGAGAGCTCCTGGTTTTAGTATTGTATTGTTAACACAGAGAGCTACTGGTTTTAGTATTGAAGTGTAAACACAGAGAGCTACTGGTTTTAGTATTGTAGCGTTAACACAGAGAGCTACTGGTTTTAGTATCGTAGTGTTAACACAGAGCGCTGCTGGTTTAAGTATTGTAGTGTTAACTCAGAGAGCTACTGGTTTTAGTATTGTAGTGTAACACAGAGAGCTACTGGTTTTAGTATTGTAGTGTAACACAGAGAGCTACTGGTTTTAGTATTGAAGCGTTAACACAGAGAGCTACTGGTTTTAGCATTGTAGTGTTAACACAGAGAGCTGATGAATTTAGTATTGAAGTGTTAACACATAGAGCTACTGGTTTTAGTGTCGTAGTGTTAACACAGAGAGCTACTGGTTTAGTATTGTAGTGTTAACACAGAGAGCTGATGAATTTAGTATTGAAGTGTTAACACATAGAGCTACTGGTTTTAGTGTCGTAGTGTTAACACAGAGAGCTACTGGTTTTACTATTGTAGTGTTAACACAGAGAGCTACTGGTTTTAATATTGTAGTCTACTGGTTTTAGTATCGTAGTGTTAACACAGAGAGCTGCTGGTTTTAGTATTGAAGTGTTAACACAGAGTGCTACTGGTTTTAGCATTGTAGTGTTAACACAGAGAGCTACTGGTTTTACTATTGTAGTGTTAACACAGAGAGCTACTGGTTCTAGTATTGTAGTGTTAACACAGAGAGCTACTGGTTTTAGTATTGAAGTGTTAACACAGAGAGCTACTGGTTTTAGCATTGTAGTGTTAACACAGAGAGCTGATGAATTTAGTATTGGAGTGTTAACACATAGAGCTACTGGTTTAAGTATTGTAGTGTTAACACAGAGAGCTACTGGTTTTAGTATTGTATTGTTAACACAGAGCTACTGGTTTTAGTATTGTAGTGTTAACACAGAGAGCTACTGGTTTTAGTATTGAAGTGTAAACACAGAGAGCTACTGGTTTTAGTATTGAAGAGTTAACACAGAGAGCTGCTGGTTTTAGTATTTTAGTGTTAACACAGAGAGCTGATGAATTTAGTATTGAAGTGTTAACACATAGAGCTACTGGTTTTAGTATTGTAGTGTTAACACAGAGCTACTGATTTTAGTATTGAAGTGTTAACACAGAGAGCTACTGGTTTTAGTATCGTAGTGTTAACACAGAGAGCTGCTGGTTTTAGTATTGAAGTGTTAACACAGAGCTACTGGTTTTAGTATTGTAGTGTTATCACAGAGAGCTACTGGTTTTAGTATTGTAGTGTTAACACAGAGCTACTGGTTTTAGTATCGTAGTGTTAACACAGAGAGCTACTGGTTTTAGTATCGAAGTGTTAACACAGAGAGCTGCTGGTTTTAGTATTGTAGTGTTAACACAGAGAGCTACTGGTTTAAGTATTGTAGTGTTAACACAGAGAGCTACTGGTTTTAATATTGTAGTGTTAACACAGAGAGCTACTGGTTTTAGTATTGAAGTGTTAACCCAGAGAGCTACTGGTTTTAGTATTGTAGTGTTAACACACAGAGCTACTGGTTTTAGTGTCGTAGTGTTAACACAGAGAGCTACACGTTTTAGTATTGTAGTGTTAACATAGAAAGCTACTGGTTTTAGTATTGTAGTGTTAACACAGAGAGCTACTGGTTTTAGTATTGTAGTGTTAACATAGAAAGCTACTGGTTTTAGTATTGTAGTGCTAACACAGAGAGCTACTGGTTTTAGTATTGTAGTGTTAACACATAGAGCTACTGGTTTTAGTGTCGTAGTGTTAACACAGACAGCTCCTGGTTTTAGTATTGTAGCGTTAACACAGAGAGCTACTGGTTTTAGAATTGTGGTGTTAACACATAGAGCTACTGGTTTTAGTATTGTAGTGTTAACACAGAGAGCTACTGGTTTTAGTATTTTAGTGTTAACACAGAGAGCTACTGGTTTTAGTATTGTGGTGTTAACACATAGAGCTACTGGTTTTAGTGTCGTAGTGTTAACACAGAGAGCTACACGTTTTAGTATTGTAGTGTTAACATAGAAAGCTACTGGTTTTAGTATTGTAGTGTTAACACAGAGAGCTACTAGTTTTAGTATTGTAGTGTTAACACAGATAGCTACTGGTTTTAGTATTGTAGTGTTAACACATAGAGCTACTGGTTCTAGTGTCGTAGTGTTAACACAGAGAGCTACTGGTTTTAGTATTGTAACGTTAACACAGAGAGTTACTGGTTTTAGTATTATAGTGTTACCACAGAGAGCTACTGGTTTTACTATTGTAGCGTTAACACAGAGAGTTACTGGTTTTAGTATTATAGTGTTAACGCAGAGAGCTACTGGTTTTAGTATTGTAGTGTTAACACAGAGAGCTACTGGTTTTGGTATTGTAGTGTTAACACATAGAGCTACTGGTTTTGGTATTGTAGTGTTAACACACAGAGCTACTGGTTTTAGTATTGTAGTGTTAACACACAGAGCTACTGGTTTTAGTATTGTAGTGTTAACACAGAGAGCTACTGGTTTTAGTATTGTAGTGTTTACGAAATCACTAATGTTATATAGTTTTGCTGTTATATATATCACTTACATATACTTCTCCGACACACCAGGTTTCCCGCCGTTTTTTATGCGGGTTCATGATGTTGTATCTTCTGTTTCGATGACTCTTCGGTTCCTTGTTCTGATTAAGTCTGTTTGGTCCATTTCTATATTTTATTTTACCTAACAGACAGAGCTACTGGTGTGATATCTACTGCACGACTCACACATGCTACCCCAGCCGCCTCCTACGCCCACACTGCTAACCGCGGTTGGGAGGGGGACGTCAAAATGAAGGGTATAGAGGGAGACTGCAAAGATATTGCTTATCAATTTGTCCACGAAAACCCAAACATCCGAGTAAGTATTTCATTATGCTTAGGGAGCCGAAATATACGTCTTTCTTCATACCGATATGTCTTATATTCCCTAAAAGTAAACATTTTTTTACCATCGTTTACTCAGAAATCTGACATCCAGCTAACTATATTTTTGATTATCTAACATTCACTTACAATTCAGAAGAACTACCTTATATGATCGCTGCAGGTGGCAATGGGCGGGGGTAGAAGATTCTTTCTCCCTAACGATACAAATGACCCGGAAACAAATTCTGTTGACCCCAATCAACGACAAGATCAACGCAATCTGATAGAGGTAAGTATGAAATAACACGGAAATCCAGTAATTAGTTCACAGTGTTGTATCATACACGGTATATGTAAACTATATTTATTTTACAACAATTATATATGAAACAAGTTATTTCAACTTATATAAATCACTCTTGTTGGCCCCGATGTTAGCGCGCGTGGGGTCTTAATGTGGGAGGAAACCGGAGTACCCGGAGAAAACCCATGTGATCGGGCAGGTGACCCATACCTTTTCACGTCCGATTGGGGAATCGAACCCCGGTCGCCTTTGTAAAAAGGCAAGTGTGCTATCCACTGCGCCACCCGACCACCCTAAGTATATTACCCGACCACGCTGTATATGTAAAACCATCATTGGCAAAATGAAAAATACAACCAACAGGACAATTTCTGAATAGTGTGCATGGTGTTTTTAAATGTACAAAATATAAGCAAACCAAATACGTGTTCGTGTAGCTATGAACATTATATCATTAAATTTTCGGGTACATGTCGTTTTATCATTTCTGTAATCAACACATTAAGGACAGGTCATTTACAGTTGATATCATTCGAATTCTATTATACGTAGCGTGATATAGGGGGTTAGTAATGTCCACTTTACCAGTGTACCTATGTACGAACGAAATCCATGTTATTGTGAGTAGTGTGTTAGTATAGACGTTATGTAAACCCATCCGTATTTTAATGAAAGAATGTTGTTTAAGGCATTGTGAGTCACAGACCGTGAATAGAAAAGACACGGAATCTTAATCTTCAATAAGATTCATCAGTTTGGAAACATGCAATATGATATCAAAGTTGTCGCAACGTTTCAATACCGACTGGTCTCTTTGTCAAGTCATAGCTAGACAAAGGGACCAGTCGGTCTTGTCTGTGTAAAAAGTAAAACTTTGATATCATATCACATGGAATCTTAACCTCAACCGCATTACCATCAAAACGAACTAATAGCATTGACCTTCTCATCAAACTTTGTTAAAATACTTATTTTTTGCATATAGAAAACAATGCTTACCTCGCATAACATATGTATGTTTAATTTGTTGTTATCAACCTCGGCCAGGACTGGAAGAGAATCCAATCCGCCGAAGGACGGCGCCATTCTTATGCATGGAACAAGCAGCAGTTTGACGCCATAGACCCCGCTACTACAGACTATCTATTGGGTCAGTAACGAATCCGGTCAAGTCCTGGTCATTACGCACGTCAGATTCTATACACGGGCTAACAGCCAAGATATATAGTTCATTCAAGGATGAAATACCATGATGAAATAATTCATACAAGATATCTGTGGTCACGTTTTTCATTTATCTATCTGAAGTCATGTTTGTTAGTAATAACATTTGGTATTTTTATACTCAGCTCCTGACGAATTGAGTTTATTGTTTATGTTGTCGGCATTGTATTTGAGACAGGGAGATGGATGATATAAATGACGCTATGTATACACTTCCAGATAACATTTAAATATATATATGCATGCATAGTTTTCGCGGTAAGACCGACTGGTACAATATAATCGATTGGTAAAGATTAGTTTAGAACTGTCCTTGCAAGTAATCTGCTATTGAACTAACTGCACCAGCTCAATTCAACCATTTTCTTTTTAGGACCGAAAATGACAAAACGTAATTTATTTTTTATTGCAGGATTGTTTGAGCCAGGCCACATGCAGTACAACTACCAGAGAGATTCGGGTCCAAATGGAGAACCTTCTCTAACAGAAATGGTATCCAAGGCCATTAGGATACTCAGTCGCCATAACCGCGGATTCTTCTTACTAGTTGAAGGTACAGAGAACGTTGTTTTATAAGTAAAATCGGAGAACAAATATTTAATAATGAGTTATCATTATAACCGACTGTTACATGGTGACATGATCATCTCGTACAGTCTGGAAATCATATCATGTAAAACTAGCTACCTATTTAATTTCCGTTTAGGTCGGTTGTCTTGGGGAAATGTGTGTGAATTGTTAGTCTCCTGACGTAATTTGAAAGACTGCGGTGTTACAACAGACATTACAGGAGTATTATACACAGACGTTTAGACTACGTAGAATGCTCACTGTGTGCGTGTTCATGCCTCACACCCGTCAAATGTAAAATGTGTCGGGGAACTTGAGGTCAAATCCTTTTCAACAATGTAAACATGGTTTTCAATATGATGTTCGGAGTTTTCAGTTACCTTTAACGTGATATAAAGCGAGTGTAGTTGTATACCGGCATTACATTACCGGTATTCAGGTCACGTCTGGGCACCATCAAAAACGTGTTGTAGGTATATATATATATACACATATGTAAAATCGTCAGGTGATCGATGAGTTTGTCGGTGTATGTCACCTTTTGTACGTGTAGGACGTCCTTCCTCTGCAATATACTATAGGTCTACAACTGTCGTTATATTTTATGACTTCCATAATTCACAGCATATGATATATCTTGTAGAAAGAGTAATGCCCAAACGTAGAAACAAAACTATGAAAAAGACATTCCCTTTTAAATCTAAAGCTAAATATAAGTTTTGGAAATATAAAGACATACAATACATGTAATTGTTTATAAATGGTAATTTTAAATCTTAATTGACGGATGAGAAATTGAACATTATTGGTGAACAGCGAGCACAGAATGATTGTAAGATAAATTTTATAACTATAATACATATAACTCTCAAAGTATGACGGAGAGGTTATGTAATCTCATGGACAAAGAAACCCCAACCTTATGATGAAATGTCACTGAGACATCATGTACGCTCACTAACGAATGAAACTCGTCCTTTTTCTAAAGCATCACTGAGCGAGTCGTCGCGTTAATAACAAATCATATCCAGCCAAATTATAAAATATCACCAAGACGTTATGTAAACTCGACGAGATACCATGTTAACTCACTGAGACGTCATGCATTCTCAATAAGATGTCGTGTAACTTCAATAACAAGTGATACCAGGTCGCATTCTAAAATATCATAGAGACGTCATGCATTCTCAATAAGATGTCGTGTAACTTCAATAACAAGTGATACCAGGTCGCATTCTAAAATATCATAGAGACGTCATGCATTCTCAATAAGATGTCGTGTAACTTCAATAACAAGTGATACCAGGTCGCATTCTAAAATATCATAGAGACGTCATGCATTCTCAATAAGATGTCGTGTAACTTCAATAACAAGTGATACCAGGTCGCATTCTAAAATATCATAGAGACGTCATGCATTCTCAATAAGATGTCGTGTAACTTCAATAACAAGTGATACCAGGTCGCATTCTAAAATATCATAGAGACGTCATGCATTCTCAATAAGATGTCGTGTAACTTCAATAACAAGTGATACCAGGTCGCATTCTAAAATATCATAGAGACGTCATGCAAACAGGAGTAATTATAAGTACGTTGTGATAACGGCTTAATTCTCACACAAGAAATAGTAGTACTTCACCTTAAATATCACATGAGTGCAGTATATGTTTCTATGCCTGTAGTAGTAGAAATATATATGCTTTTTTGCTTTCATGTGGGACAAAACAAAAAACTTTTCTCCTATGGTAATTTTTAGCAACTGTAACAATATTCAAAAAGCACTGTTTCACTGACATACCGATGCATGAATATTTCATACAAACCTGAGTCATTGCGCGTTGAATTGCTTTTATTTTGCATTTATTTTTAAAAAAAAATAGCAACACAAAAACGTTTCAGTAGGTTCGTTAGCCATTTATATCGAATATTTATGCATTCAATAGACTGCGTCTATACTCTATCAGTCCCTATATATTTTGTGTGAAAAACGGTAAATAAATCGCTTTGAATGTCTGGTCGACCTTGTGAATCTGCAAAATTATCAAATAGATCCTGATTTAAATATTGTCTTGCCTTAACTGTATTTTTATTCAGATATCGTAAGCTTAATGTTTAAGAATTGAAACATAAATATCGATCAGCAAAACTTGTACAATACAGGTGCTCGGATCGACCACGCCCACCATGACGGTCTCGCCAACATCGCGCTTGACGAGACTATATCATTAGAGTCGGCCGTCCGGGAGGCAGCCCGCCTAACTGACGAGTCCGATACGCTCATCATCACGACGGCCGACCACTCACATGTGTTCACCATGGGCGGATATCCGAAACGAGGCAACGATATATTGGGTAAGAAAAGCCATATATCACGCGATAGCAAATGCTAATATAACAACGAAATAACCTATGACCAATTCTATGTATAGTTTTCTTCAGCCCCGATATCAATGAGAGCCTCAAAGTGTTTGGCTGTGTTCTGGCCATGTTTAAAAACAGTTTACTAATGATTCTGTCATAGTTGTGTTTATCGTTATGACCAATTATCAAATTGATCTTCCTGGCAAAATGTTTTTTTTATTTTCAAAATAATTGATGGTTTTCTGAAATAGACTCTTTCATCAATGAGCACTAAAGTCATTTGACATGATGATTTTTCTTTCTGGTAAATATCTATAAGCACTAAGCGTGTCAGTAGGCAGTAATATATGTAGGTAACAATATTTAATTATTGAAAGGATTTGCACGTATCCGTATATACTACGTTTCAGGTTATTCGGACCCCATTGCGGACGAGGTTCCCCTGGATGGAATACCATATGCTACCCTAGCTTACAGTAACGGGCCGGGATACAGGTGGGGAAACCGTAGTGAGTTCAACGACTCCAAGGCAGACACAAGTAAGTAATCAGTGGCGTAGTGAGTCCGACGACTCCAAGGCAGACACAAGTAAGTAACCAGTGGCTTAGTGAGTCCAACGACTCCAAGGCAGACACAAGTAAGTAATCAGTGGCTTAGTGAGTCCAACGACTCCAATGCAGACACGAGTAAGTAATCAGTGGCTTAGTGAGTTCAACGGCTCCAAGGCAGAAACAAGTAAGTAATCAGTGGCTTAGTGAGGCCAACGACTCCAAGGCAGACGCAAGAAAGTAATCAGTGGCTTAGTGAGTTCAACGGCTCCAAGACAGACACAAGTAAGTAATCAGTGGCGTAGTGAGTCCAACGACTCCAAGGCAGACCCAAGTAAGTTATCAGTGGCGTAGTGAGTCCTACGACTCCAAGGCAGACACAAGTAAGTAATCAGTGGCGTGGTGAGTTCAACGACTCCAAGGCAGACGCAAGTAAGTAATCAGTGGCGTAGTGAGCTCAACGACTCCAAGGCAGACACAAGTAAGTAATCAGTGGCGTAGTGAGTCCAACGACTCCAAGGCAGACACAAGTAAGTAATCAGTGGCGTAGTGAGTCCAACGACTCCAAGGCAGACACAAGTAAGTAATCAGTGGCGTAGTGAGTCCAACGACTCCAAGGCAGACACAAGTAAGTAATCAGTGGCGTAGTGAGTCCAACGACTCCAAGGCAGACACAAGTAAGTAATCAGTGGCGTAGTGAGTCCAACGACTCCAAGGCAGACACAAGTAAGTAATCAGTGGCGTAGTGAGTCCAACGACTCCAAGGCAGACACAAGTAAGTAATCAGTGGCGTAGTGAGTCCAACGACTCCAAGGCAGACACAAGTAAGTAATCAGTGGCGTAGTGAGTCCAACGACTCCAAGGCAGACACAAGTAAGTAATCAGTGGCGTAGTGAGTCCAACGACTCCAAGGCAGACACAAGTAAGTAATCAGTGGCGTAGTGAGTCCAACGACTCCAAGGCAGACACAAGTAAGTAATCAGTGGCGTAGTGAGTCCAACGACTCCAAGGCAGACACAAGTAAGTAATCAGTGGCGTAGTGAGTCCAACGACTCCAAGGCAGACACAAGTAAGTAATCAGTGGCGTAGTGAGTCCAACGACTCCAAGGCAGACACAAGTAAGTAATCAGTGGCGTAGTGAGTCCAACGACTCCAAGGCAGACACAAGTAAGTAATCAGTGGCGTAGTGAGTCCAACGACTCCAAGGCAGACACAAGTAAGTAATCAGTGGCGTAGTGAGTCCAACGACTCCAAGGCAGACACAAGTAAGTAATCAGTGGCGTAGTGAGTCCAACGACTCCAAGGCAGACACAAGTAAGTAATCAGTGGCGTAGTGAGTCCAACGACTCCAAGGCAGACACAAGTAAGTAATCAGTGGCGTAGTGAGTCCAACGACTCCAAGGCAGACACAAGTAAGTAATCAGTGGCGTAGTGAGTCCAACGACTCCAAGGCAGACACAAGTAAGTAATCAGTGGCGTAGTGAGTCCAACGACTCCAAGGCAGACACAAGTAAGTAATCAGTGGCGTAGTGAGTCCAACGACTCCAAGGCAGACACAAGTAAGTAATCAGTGGCGTAGTGAGTCCAACGACTCCAAGGCAGACACAAGTAAGTAATCAGTGGCGTAGTGAGTCCAACGACTCCAAGGCAGACACAAGTAAGTAATCAGTGGCGTAGTGAGTCCAACGACTCCAAGGCAGACACAAGTAAGTAATCAGTGGCGTAGTGAGTCCAACGACTCCAAGGCAGACACAAGTAAGTAATCAGTGGCGTAGTGAGTCCAACGACTCCAAGGCAGACACAAGTAAGTAATCAGTGGCGTAGTGAGTCCAACGACTCCAAGGCAGACACAAGTAAGTAATCAGTGGCGTAGTGAGTCCAACGACTCCAAGGCAGACACAAGTAAGTAATCAGTGGCGTAGTGAGTCCAACGACTCCAAGGCAGACACAAGTAAGTAATCAGTGGCGTAGTGAGTCCAACGACTCCAAGGCAGACACAAGTAAGTAATCAGTGGCGTAGTGAGTCCAACGACTCCAAGGCAGACACAAGTAAGTAATCAGTGGCGTAGTGAGTCCAACGACTCCAAGGCAGACACAAGTAAGTAATCAGTGGCGTAGTGAGTCCAACGACTCCAAGGCAGACACAAGTAAGTAATCAGTGGCGTAGTGAGTCCAACGACTCCAAGGCAGACACAAGTAAGTAATCAGTGGCGTAGTGAGTCCAACGACTCCAAGGCAGACACAAGTAAGTAATCAGTGGCGTAGTGAGTCCAACGACTCCAAGGCAGACACAAGTAAGTAATCAGTGGCGTAGTGAGTCCAACGACTCCAAGGCAGACACAAGTAAGTAATCAGTGGCGTAGTGAGTCCAACGACTCCAAGGCAGACACAAGTAAGTAATCAGTGGCGTAGTGAGTCCAACGACTCCAAGGCAGACACAAGTAAGTAATCAGTGGCGTAGTGAGTCCAACGACTCCAAGGCAGACACAAGTAAGTAATCAGTGGCGTAGTGAGTCCAACGACTCCAAGGCAGACACAAGTAAGTAATCAGTGGCGTAGTGAGTCCAACGACTCCAAGGCAGACACAAGTAAGTAATCAGTGGCGTAGTGAGTCCAACGACTCCAAGGCTGACACAAGTAAGTAATCAGTAGCGTAGTGAGTCCAACGACTCCAAGGCTGACACAAGTAAGTAATCAGTGGCTTAGTGAGTCCAACGACTCCAAGGCAGACACAAGTAAGTAATCAGTAGCGTAGTGAGTCCAAAGACTCCAAGACTGACACAAGTAAGTAATCAGTGGCGTAGCAAATCATTTTTCGGATAATATGCTTACAATGGGTCAAGCGTCCGAGGCGCGAAGCGCCGGAGGATAGGGAGGGTATTGGAAAGACACTAGCTGGACAAACAATGTACTAGGCTCTAGAAACAATGTCCCATATTCTGTGAACTCTTTTAAGACTGATTATTAACAAGTAAATCCCGACTATTTATATGAAAAATATTTAATTTTGTACTTCAAGTAGTTTTTGATTCGTATAAACCTTTGAGATTTGTCTAAGTGTATAGACATACTATAACAACACTATTTTATCAGACTAACATTTTCAAGAAGATTTAGTTTTTCTTTCTATCCATTTTTTTTTATTGATACGGACGGTCCATATTCATCATAAAAAACGAAATTTATAAAAACATATGATTATAAAACAAGTCTTGAAAACGTCAGTGTATGGTCGAGCATACGTGTACAAGCATGATTTGCTACTTTATAAAGAGCATTAAACAGACGACACGTCATAAAAAAAGGAAATAATGATTTTGTAATAAATTTTATATTTTTTGCCACTTTTTTGCTTTACATATGTGGTATAGCTAAAAGCATGTGACATGTCCTACATTAGGAACGCTTGAAACTTCTCCTTAAAGAGTAGAAAATAGATTCAAATAGGATTCAATGTTTTATAAATAGTAGGTACATTTGATTATTTCTGATAACTAGGTTATTAAACAAAGTTTAATGATTTTTGTCAAAAATATGCTATCAAATTTAAAACACGAAACGATTGTTTTTCGACCATACATTTTGTGTGACGTTTAGATAGCAATCAGACAGTGTTTTACATGTATCACGCTGTACACTATATCTCTACACCACTAGTATCGGGAATCATCTGCTGCCTTTGTATCAGGACTATATGACCGATGTTTACAGGGCTTCCGTACAACCCGTGATGTTCTCTGATTCGGACATGTATTGTCGCACTCTAAATTTTATTACACCGGATAAAATCTACTGCACGATACCCCCATACAGAAGCTTTCTGAACACGACTTCAGATCATTGAAACTTTCCATTTCGGCTAATGTATCACTGTGGCTGGAAGGGGTTTAAGATGGTTGATATATAGAATCATGGACGCGTCGCTACTGATGAGTGTTTGCTGTGCATGAGGCTTCTTCCCTACTGATAGCACAGGGGTTGTGTAGGCTCCAGTTACACAAAGTCTAGACATTGTTTACAACAAAACATTTTAATGGAATATCAAATGTCAATTACATGCAATTGTTAACCTCGTCAAAATTAGATGACGAAAATATCAGTATACGTATTTTTCCAAATATTACAGGACATTACATAAATACACAAATAACACAAATTCAATTTACATCAATTGTATTCTAAGAATGGTTTACGACCTTTAAAATGAATTTCTAGCTAACGCTTGTCTGCGGAGTCATGTAAGCTGGCGTAAGTGCACTAGCGGGCTAATCCAAAAGTGTGGGAGCTACCGTCTATATCGTTAACTTCTAATCAGGTTATAAATTTATGTTTATTGTTTGGCGCATTGATACGAGTAAAACGACATTCAAACTTTATTATTTTCAACGTACCAATTCACTCTCATCAATCTCGTCCACTTACAAACGTTATGGGTATAAAGATGTCCCGCTGATGTATGCGAGTCCTTGGCCCCTTGACAGTTAAACGTTCGCAATAACGCAATCGATTCTGGCTAAACGACTGTTTTCTTATGGACGATTTTGTGTCCTAACATAATTCCAGGCGCGTAGCTACCATGTAAGCCAATAAGCCCGGGCTTGCACATAATTTTGACAAGTATAGGTTTTCATGACGTTTTTTCTTTTCTTGCTGATACTATAAAATGGAGTTTAAGTTTTGAATATATAGTATACATATGTAATTCCTCAGATATGATACATTGTTAATAGTAAATGGGGCAACCTCGCTTCTCGAAATGACCAACAAATAACAGGAGCAAATATAAGGAACCAGTTACAAAGCACAAACAGGAGACGAAACTGTGTGGGAGACTGAGTAAAGGTGACAGTGGGGGTAACCTCGCTTCCCAATTAACTCGGATCAGATTATGAGAAAGACAAACCCAATTGCATGTTCATTAATGCAGAAGTATCAAATGCATTTATCAAAATTAGGTAAAAACCAGACAATGTATGTATGGAGGGTGTACA